TCTGATTTCTAAACACCAACATGGAGAGTGGGGAGAGGAGCAGGAGGTGGGGTCAGAATGAGACAGCCAGGGACCACGGTGGTGGCACAGAAGGCCAGATGACAGAACAAATCCTGGGGTAGTAAACAGTTCTCCTTTACGCGTGGCATGTTTAACAGACCTGGCATGAGGCCCTGTCAAAACTGCAGCAGCAGAATGTGTACGTGCAACGAGAAACTGTTACAAGGAAAATCCTGGGTAGGCCCTCCAGCCTCACTTGCTCTTAGACAATTTAAAGATGACTCATTGTGAAGGTCAGCCCCAGTTGGTTTGCTTCCCACAAGCTTTGCTCCAGATACTGCTTATGATAATGGCACCTGCTTTCCTCCTAGGGGTCTGAAGGCCACTTCTTCTGAAAACTCTGACTTCCCTTGAGCCTCCAGACATCAGGGTGACTAAAGTGGGGTGAAAGGTCTCTGTCTTCCCACTGTCTCTCCCCTTTGCTGTCTCAACCCTTGGTAAGTTAGGCTTTTGGATTTCAAAAATGTGCGCCCCACCTAGGACGTCTCTCATGACTTCTCTCTGGATATGACTGACAGGGTGCGGAGTCCTCTCAGGGGTACCTAGCGTATGTGACTTTCCCGGAATTCACTGTTACAATTACATGCATGACACGAAGCCCCTATGTACGCACTACTAATGAACTTCAAGGAGAGGAAAGGTTACTGTAACTCAGGCTACTGTATCTAACAAGCATGTACTCTGGCCTGGAGCTTTTGAACTTTCCTGGGAGGTTGTTATTCTTATTTCTGCTTCTCTTAGGGCAATGGAAGGAGGATTGGCCCTGGGGTTGTCTTTGTCACACAGTTCGCACTGGGGACATTCACTTGAGATTCGGGCAGCCCAAAGAAGAGACACAGAGCCATAAGCTGGGTGAAACATCTTTTATTCAGCTGCTTAGCTGGAGTTCATCTCTTTAGCCGCACTTTCGGCCCTCAGCCACTGTGCACACACAGCAGTCCTCAGTTCCCAGCCAGCCCATACTCAGGGCAGTCCTTGGCTGACGACCTTGGTTATGTAAGTTATTTACACTGGGCAGCACTGACCTTGGGTACAGAAGTCATTTACACGGGGGCGTTGTGAGATGCGCCTGTGCTGGGCTCTGTTGACGCAGAACCCACTGCCTCCAGATACCCTTGCCTTTGCAGCCTGAACCAAAGTGCCGCCATCTTGGCTTTCGTGCTTCCCTACAGGGTGTTGTCCAGATTCAGGTGAATGGAGGGGGAGTGGCCCCACACAGCCCTGGTGGTGTTATCTGCACTAATAAGGCTGCACCTCTGTCAGTCCAGGGCTGGGAACAAAAATGTTAGTCTAGAACCCTGCAGGGGCTTCCTGCCACACCCAGGCTGCTGGCAAGGCCAACAGTGATTGTCCTCTGTGCGTGCGTGTGTGTGTGTGTGTGTGTGTGTATACACGTGTGTGTATACACGTGTGTGACTATTAGGGTTTGTTAGGCCCTATCTGGCCATGACATAGTTAATAAATACAGTGTTTAATTCCAAGCTACAGTTAAAGTTACAGCCCTCAGCAAACGCACACCTCTCCTTCAGTCTCTGCCTAGATACAGGCTTTGCAGTCTTGGAGCAGATAGAACACAGAAGAGGATGTTACAGAAAAGAGATAAGACTACAAAGTACAGCAGGACATCTTCCGGATGCCAAGTTACCCGATAACATCCATACATCTGCCTGTACCCCAGATTGGACCCCAACCACAAATATTTGCTCCGACTCCTGTATGTGACATACATGCCAGATCCCTTCCCCAATCTCCTATAGAGCTCTCTGCTGTTATTTTGTTCATCATTGACAGCTTGTGGCCCTCAGTCCACCTCAGCCCAGGTAAATAAAGTCTGTGCCTCACTGTCTTCCACCAGCCTGGTCGGGTGGTCTCGTTCCTCCACCATTTGTCACAGGGTTGATGGAGCCTGATCTTCTCTCCAGTGCTGTCTCAGAAGAGCAAGCACTCCCAGCGGGATGGGGCAAGGATGAGATAGGAGATTAGGGTGTGTCAGAAGCTGGCTGGGAAAGTGTACATGACCTGTTAACTACAACAGACACATGCGCAGAACGGCTCCCAAAGCCCTGCATGTGACTTATCTGAGACCTTGAGCAGGTTTCCAATAGGAAGATGTCAGCCTGAGGAGTGAGATCCCAGCACCACCTCTTAGGACCTGTATGTAGGTGTTCTCGCAGGTTTCCACGAGATTTAGACGGTATAAAAGAAAAGCAACCACAAAGAATTGTGTTATAACTTTCCACCATAGCCCACGTGCTGTTTCCCAGACATGGTGTGTACTTTTATCTTTGCTCTTATCCTTTTTCTCTTTACTCAGCCCAAGCTCACTCAGCAGAGTCAGTTTCCCCCCTACTTTTCACTTTTACTTTCTTGAATAAACTTTGCCTCTGCTTTTTGCTTGTTTTGTTCAAGATGAGAAGAATCTGGACTCTAACTCCACAAGGAGAGGTCAGCAACCCAGAATCCGTAATGTTTAGTTGGCAAGCCCTTTTTAGAAGCAGGCTACCGGATAAGAAAGGCAGTGCACAGAGAACAGACGGAAGCCACGGCAGAGCAGCTGGGCCTTGAGGCCTGACCTGGTCTGATTCCACCTCTACCTCAAGGAACTGGGAGACCTTTAAGACTGTTAGGTACAGCTAAGACTTGGAGATGACCAATCAAGGCAGAAAGATTTATTAGCATGACAAGTACCGTACAGCAGCATGTCAGGGGTGCGAAGTAGACTTCACCCCAGGCCAGCAGCTTTTTTTTTTTAAACTTTATTTTAAAATTTTGGTTAGAGTTTCATTTTTTTTTTTTCAAACAAGTCTACTGCTTAATCTCTCAGGATTAAAAAAAACAAGATTCTAAAGAATTAAACAACAAAGGAATGTCAAAGGAAGGGCACAGCTGCCCCACTCAGGTATAATAGCTATTCCAATTAATACCTAGCTTCAAAACAAAATGAATTTTTATATTTTCTAAATGAATAATGTACAACCACCATCTTCATCTAGGCTTGTTATACCTTTCAAACACAAAGCTTCATTTTAAGCTTAGTAAAAAGCTTAACAGGAATGATGGCTGACCTTATTGTGTAGTGTGTACCTCACAGTAAACTTTGTTAACAGTCAGAACACAGTAACAATGCCATTAATAATGAAATCCTCAATTCAGAATCTGGAACATTCTTCCATCAAGGGCAGAAGGGGAAATTCAGTCCGATGAGTCCATCTCAAGATCTTCATCTTTTGTTTGCTCCACTTGTATTCTCTTTTCAGGAACTGGATTAATGCTTTGAGCCCCAAATGAGATATATTTTTCATTACTGGAGATTACATGTTGTTTGGTGCTCAGTTTCCATTTGTTCCTCTCACTTGTGTTTTTGGTCTGCGGCTTCCTTCTCGTGCTGGCCTTTCAGCATATTCCTCCTCTGAGCCGTCTGGAAGTTTCTTCCACCCTTTCTCTCCTTTTCACCTTCATGGTCATCTCCCTCTTCTTCAGGATCAGAGGCTGATGTAACCCCTGTTTTAGCTAAATTTTTCCCTTTTGATTCAACTTCTTTCTTGCCCTCTTTTTTGTCTGGCTCTTTCCTTGGTTTATCTTCTTCCTTCTGCCCCTCTTCATCCTTTGCAGGCTGCTTTTTAGGTTGTTTTTCCTCTTGCCCCTTTTTCTTATTTTGTCTTCTTCAGCACCCGTGTTCCTCTCTGAAGGGCAAGGCTGTTTTGCCGTTTTGGGTCTGCCTCTTGGTTTCGGAATCTTGACTTCTGTAGCTGCAGGTTGCCCTTTCTTAGGACTCACTTTTAGATGAACAGATGCTGTTGCTGTTGTCACTACTCCTGCTTCCTCAGTTTCTACTTTTTCTGCCTTTCTCTTTCTCCCTCCTCTGGCAGCTTTTGGAGTGGTTATGTCGACTGCTTTAGTCCTATCCTCACTGCTTGCTTTTTCTTCATAATCACTGTCTTCCTCTGAAACACTAGTTTCTTTTTCTTTAACTTCAACATCAGAGGATGCATTTGACTGTTTAGTTGATGCCTGTCGGCTTGTCTATCTTCCATAAGCCTTCATTAAAACTTTTCATTTGTTTGGCTTACCATACTTTTCCTTATTTTCTGAGTAAGGAAATATATCCTTTGGTCCTAAAAAAGCTGTTTCAGGGCCAGGGATTTAGCTCAGTGGTTCCGGCACCTGCCTCACAAGCACAAGGACCTGAATTCGATTCCCGGTACCAAAAAAAAAAAGCTGTTTCATGAGTCCCAAAACAGAAGATGGGCAGTTTGTTTGTGGGTGGCTTTACAGCCCCATCAGGAACTTCATTTACTTGAGCTGACTAATGAGGGTAACCTTTCATCTTGGCAAAGATGAGGTCTCCAGGTTTGAAATCTCAAGTCATGTTTTAGGGGCAAGGCTGGGGTCCCGAGCCCAGGAGGAGTTCAACAGTCAGCTTGGCTCAGTCCCGGGGCCGGCAGGGAGGACACCTAGGGCTGAGGGCATGAGGGGAATTCTTTAAACTAACAAAGACCCTCCAAGCCTCAGTTTCCTCTTCTGTTAAACAAGGAAACAGGGTCTGTTTTGTGCCATTGTTACCAGGTTCTGTAATTCTGTAGACTCTTTCTAGGTTCTTTGTGTCCTGAACAAAGAATTTGGCAAGACATGCGAAAATGGCAGTGAACTTTTACATTTATTACAAGTAGGAAAAGAAGCATGTTCCGCAGAGTGAGAGCAGGCCACTGAGAGTTCAAAGTGGCATGGGATTAATGACGAATGTCTTTTGTATCCCTCATTCCTCAGCTGACGTTAGATCTAGGCCATCCTACCCAAACCCTGCTTTGGCCGGGGATTTAGCTCAGTGGTTTCGCGGCCTGCTGCGCAAGCACAAGGACCCGAGTTTGATCCCCAGTACCAAAAAAAACAAAACCTGCTTGATTTCTCTCCAGAAGAACTGAAGATAGCACTTTCTGGTTGGTCTGTGCGCGCCTCCTGAATCTGATTGCAGGACACGCCCCGTTGCTCGGCGGGTTGGCCACGCCCTCATCTCCTGCCTCACTATTGTGACTGAGGCTGCCCATGAAGCATCCAGCTAGTCCAGGGCAGTTCAGGACCCTCCCACCGTTCTCCTCCCCCTCAACCAGATGGGTGTCAGGAGGCTCTGTGGGGTGAGGCTCAACAGCTCACAGGCTCCCCAACTCCGGCAGGGGGCGGGGCAGGATGGGGAGCTTTAGACATCTGCAATGCTGTGGAACTTGGACCTGCATTGTATGTGGGGCTGTGCTCTGTCCCCCACCCCCAATCTTGAGTGCTTCAGGGATTTATTTTCAAAGCTGCCTTTGATATTCATGTAAAAGAAACTAAAAGGGAAAGAAGCTGAGCCTGGGCTCCTGTGAGCCAGGAAGGGCAGGAGAAGGGCCCTCACAGACCGCCCTATAAACATGCGTTAAAACCCGATTTAGAAGAGGAGCTTGAGTGTCAGAGGGTCCAGGTGCACGGCTGGGAAGTGCTGGAGTCACAACTGAAATGCACTCCTGGCCTTCGCCTTCCACTGCCCCACTGTGCCTAGAGCTACAGAGGAGCAGCCCAGGCCTGGCTACTTGGAATCCAGGGCCTCCCCTATGAGAAGTGCTCTCTTCCCTTGCCTGCCTGCACTTTCTTTCGAAGCAAACCAAGGCCCAGAGAGCACAGCTGGCCAGCAGGGTCACACAACAAGCTGATGGGGTTGAGCCTGTCCCAAAGCTGTACTGATCTCCACTTGCCCCATTCAGCCTCCACACGTGCCCGTCTTGTGCCTGGGGACTTTGTGGAGAGAGCCCTCTGATACCCAGGCCCGATGCAGAGGGGAGGGAGGGGAGGAGTCAGTGGGTGGCAGAACAGGGTCAGGCCACTTCCCTGGTTTCTGGAAAGCAGAGACCAAGGTGCTTTTTTCTCTTGCTTTTGTGAGAAAGCTTGTAAAACACACTGCCTGGTGGCTTCAGGTGTGTCCACTGCTGCCTCTGTCACCGGAGGCTCTCCCACCTGCCTGTCAGCCCTGCATATGGTGGCCATTGTGTGGTATCTGTACAGCTGTCCCCACTGTCTGGCTGTGTGGCCAGGTAGGGTCATCCCCCATCAGAGAGAGCCACAAGGATCAGCCTGGCAGTGCCATTGCTGGGGGCAGGGCCAGCAGTAGGCATTCACCCACCCCACCAAACCAGTTAGAAACGCGAACCCAGATCCTGGAGAGAGATGGGAGGTGGGCCTGAGATGTCTCCCCATGCTCAGATGCCCACTTAGTCCTGCTGTGGAGTTGGGCGTGTGTCCTGAAGGGCTCCCCACGCAGATCCCATCAGTCACATTCCACGGGGAGAAGAGCGGCTCTGACCCCAGTGTGGTGTGCAGGGGGGTGGGGGGCCCCAGAGTGGAGGCGGAAAGCCAGGGAGCACAGCTGTGGTGCCTTCCAGGGAAGAGATGGGGATGGCATGGCTAGGACACTGACTTAGGGAACCCGCTGGGTGCCTGGCTGTGACCTGCAATCACAGAGATTCAGGACACAGGTGCAGACCAATCAGAAAGTGCTATCTTCATTTCTTCTGGTGAGAGAGCAAGCCAGTTTTTGATAGGCCCCAATACCCAGGTGTGGTACTGCGGGGAGGACTAGGACGTTCTGATTCCTAGGATCCTAGGGGGCAGGGAGGGAAAGGTGGCTTTGGCAGGAGGCTGGGACAGCAGCTGCCCCTGAACTCAGATTTGGGGGATGGCCAGGTGACCAGAGCCCAGCATGGAACCTGAGGCAGAGCCTCCCTGATTGCCAGATGGGCAATGCAGCCCACCACATGGGCCACTGACCACAATGTCTAAGCTCCTGAGCTGCAGGGAGAACAACTGAGAACGGCCTGGCAGGCTGAGCCCTGCCCATGGGACCAGGCTCACTTGGAGGTCAGTAGAGCCCTACTTTTTTCCTGTGGCTCACATGGCTGGGACCCATGGGGTAATGTGCTGAATTGTCGCAACATAATTAGACATGTGTCACAAGGTGGTGCTCATAGCTCTTCCTTCCTCTCTCCCTCCTCCTCTCCCTCTCTCACTCCCTTCCTCCCCTACTCCCCTTCTTCCTTTTTTCTCTTTTTTGCAGTGCTGAGGATGAAACCCAGAGCCTTGTGTGTGCTAGGCAAGCACTCTATCACTGAGCTTCACTCCCAGCCTTTCTGTGTTTTAAATCTCCATTCCTCGATGACAAGGACGAGATTCTCGCTGTTACTGAATTGAATCTTCACAAGTTGCCAGGCTGATCCCAAGCCCTGTGGAGTTTCCTATTCACCTTGTTGCTATTGCCCTCAGCCTGGGACAAGCAGGCTCAGATTCCCAGAGACAATGAGTCTTCACAGGACAGTCCGATTTGCATGGTAGCAATGGTGCAGTCCTCTGGGCTGCTGTTCAGCCTTGGGAAAGTCACTTAACCTCTTAGAACCTCAGTTTTACTCCAATTTGAAATGGGGATGATCAAGTACGGGCACATGGAAGCAACACTGTATTTTTTTTTTTTTTAATCAGAGGCCCCCGGGCCCAAGCTATGTAGCACATCAAGTTGGTGTCACAGAGCTCCCAGTCCCCATGGGCCCAGGCTGGCTGCTGAGAGGCAAAGGCTACATAGGCAACAGCTGTCCTCAGGTGCACAGAGCCTGGAGGAGCCGGCATTGAGAATGAGAGTGAAGTCCCAAGGTGCGACCAGTCTGGAGCTGAGTCCTAAGTGTTCTAAGCATCAGTCAAGGTGACAGGAGTTCAGAACAGATACTTCAGTGCTCTGTGGCAGAACAAGGCTCTCTCTCATACCTGCCTGGCACCTGTCAACACCCTAGCATTAGGCTGGCTGCACCTGGGCAGTGGAAGCCCTGGCCTGCAACCAACTTAGAAATGTACGGGAAGCAGAGTCAGAAAGCTTCCACAATCTTCCTGGACTTGGCAGCTTTGCAAAGCCATAATAGCAAGCGCTGTCTACTTGATGACTGGGCCTCCAGGACAAAGACCGTGTGATGGCTTCACCTTGAATGAAGCTCCCAGGAAAGGTTTGCGTTTGAGCACCAAGTTTGGTCTGTTTTCTCTTCTTAGGAAAAAGGCACCAAGTTGAATCTGGTGCCTAATCCTGATCCTAACCCTAATCCTGACCCTAACCCTAACCCTGGCCTTTCTGCCCTGTCTGCCCAGCCTGACTGTGGCAGCTCTTCTCAGAGGCCTGGAAGCAGCAGCTCTTTGTCTTTTTTCCACTGACTTCCCCCACTACCTGGTGTAACTGATTAGTCCTCATGCAAGCAAATGTAACTGGAATTTTTTTTTTTCTAACCTAGAGCCAAAGGTGGTAGCTGGTATGGAGGATAACAGCTAGACAAACACAATGAATATAAAGCTTGGGAGTGGTGAGTAGACAGGTTGCCTGTTCCCTGGAGGAAATGGGTATGAATTAGGAGAGAGTGAAGAAGATTCATCGGGGAAAAGGAGAAACAAAATTTCCAGTGCAGGCTGCGAGTGTGGCTTGGTGATAGGGTGGTTGCCTAGCATATACAAGGCCCTGGGTTCCATCCCTAATAGCACAAAGCAAAGCAAAACGTAAACACACACACACACACACACACAGCAAAACATGAGAATTGTGGTGCTATTTGAGTAAAGGTACCCTGGCCTTCATCCCTGCCCTTTTCATGGTTATCTGATAGTCTAATGTACTAACTTTATTCTTGCATAACTTTAATCAAGTTGAGTTGCAGACAAATTAAGAGATCTTAAGCAGAGGGAGATGGTGTGATGGGATTGAATGCTCTAGCACCAGGAACTGGGTGAGGGGCTGTCAGGGTGGCCTGGGGAAAGAGGAGGAGGCCTGGACCAGAAATGGAAGCCTTGGTGTGGAAGAGACACGCTGGATGTGAAGCAGACTTCCAAGGCTGCATCAGGGCTATTAATTAGGGGAGGGAAAGGGGAAAGATGGGGGCCAGCACCTCAGGGGGATGCTCAGGGTGGGGCTGTGTAGTGTGGGGAATCCTGGGGCATGGATTTGAGGTTCGGGAAGAGATTCTAGCCTGGAGATGAGGCCTTATCACCTTAGCAATAATGACTAAAGTCACGGAGTGAGCCTGATTAGCTAGGACATTGTAGGAAGGGCCAAAGCAGGTTCTGCCCAGTCTAGCGTAAACAGTGGACATCTGATCGCAGTGGGGTGGAGTCAGAGACGTCCCCAGGGCATTGTAGAGGAAGGGGGTGGGCTGTATATTTCTTCTAGGAAAGGAGTGCCCTCCTTGGCAGGCAGTGGAGAAAAGGAAGCTGCGTGTACCCTCCCCACCCCTTTACTATTTTAGGGGCAAAGTGGCAGGGAACTACACAGGTGTAATGATCTCTGCTTGACAGAAAGAGAAAGAAGCTACTGGGGGTGTGTGGGTCATCAGGTGAAAGAGGAGTATGAAAGTGATGGAAATTTCACAGCCCCGAGGGGATGTCAGGACTGCTAAGGGGAGAAGAAAAGCCCAGTGTGCCTGGAGTCAGGTTATAGGGTGGACGGGACAGGGCTGAGCTCATGACCGATCACGTTTCCAGTCTGATTAATCCAGCCCTCCGGAGCAGGATAAGAACACTGGTGGGATTACAAATAACCATAAACACAGACAGGCTTGACACTTGGGCTCTTGCTCCTGCCTGCTGAGTGCGTGGCTACACCAGCCAGGATGACAGTTTAGTGGAGGGAGCCTGGCAAGGGTGTGCGGTGGGCACCACAGTCCAGTCCAGACCTCCCTCCGTGGGACAACGTCTCCTTTCGTTGTTCAATGTCTTGCGCATTATTGCCGGCATCTCCCTCACAGGGTGAGTGAAAATATCTTCTAGGAAACTTGAAAACCACAGCAGAAAGTAGGCGAGTCTAAGGTGGCCCAGAAATGCCCTGCATAGACAGAAAAGGTAGGAATGACACCAAGGACTGAAAGCAGGGGCACCCTTGGCATGAGCAATGCCTGCCCGGAAGGCAAGTGGGGAGTGCTGTGAGCTGATGTGTCACACTCGAAAATGCAGCGGCCGAAGCACAGTTCCTGGGGCTGTGTAACTGTGAGCAAAGGAAGAGCAAACAGAAGTCCATGTGCATTATCTGTTTACCCCAATGACTCATGCACGGCTTCACTACAGATAAAGGGTCACAGCCATTCACTTCCTGAGCCTTTATTTTTTAGAAACAGGGTCTCTCTATGTAGTTCAAGCTGGCCTTACACTCACTATGTAGCCCAGGCTGGCCTCAAACTCTGCAGCAGTCCTCCTGCCTCAGCCTCCTGAGTGCTGGAATTACAGGCATGTGCCACCACACCTGGCCCCTGAGTCTTAAATGTCAAAAAGAAAGGGCATTGGCCAGTCTTCAGACATGGATGTGGCATTTGCACCCACTGCTGCCTCCTGCTCTCTCCCCTCCCGTCACTTAGCAGGAGTCCTTTTGATCAGGGTGGTTTTCACCTTGGCTACTTCATGTATTTCCTTATGCTTGTGGCACTTGTATCCAATGCGTATCTAATGTATCATTTTGATGTAACTGTTTATTGACAGAACACAGAATGTATACCCAGCAGTGTATAGTCTGTCATGTGCCAATGACATCCAGAGATCTCACCACTTCCTGTAAGGCAGAGGCTGTAAACTTCATCTTAGGAGAGATTCTTAGTGGTTTGTGACTTAGATGTTTCGGGCTATTTAGGGATAGTCAGAAAAATTGGCTGGGCTTTCCAGGCGGGCTGTGAGCGCCACGTTAATTTGCCTATTTGAGATAACGTAATATAAGCTCCTGGTGGCCAAGTCTTCTCTAGCTGACTGGGAGCTGTGGTGATTAAAGGCCTTCAGTTTTCCCAGAGAGAAACATGGAAGAGTCCAGAGGGAGGAGAGGATACAAATGCATCCTGGAATTGCAAGCTAAAAGAACCTAGGGACCTCGTGTCAGAGACCTGGAACGTGTGGGCAGAGGGATGGGGCGCCTTGGCTAGCCGGAGGCCAGCACGGCCCTGTGAAGGAAGGGGCACTGCAGGCCCCACGAGGGAGGCCTGGCCCTGATGCACAAGGAGCCGGGGGTCAGGAGAAGCCCAGCCTCCTGCCTCCAGTGCCCCTGCTTTTCCCACTGCTCCTACTCAGACCCTCAATTACTGCTGGGGAAACTGAGGCCACCGAGACTATCTTGGCTTGAGTCCCTGAGAGGCCAGTGGCAGAGTCAGGAGTGAAATCAGAGCACGCAGCCTTGTTTATCTTCACACCCAGCAGACAATGCAGCAAGAGACTGAATTTCCTATTTTCTCTCTTTTTTTTTTGGTACTGGGGATTGAACTCAGGACCTTGTGCTTGGCGGGAGAGCCACTGAGCTACATCCCCAGCCCCCATTCTCTTTTTTTCTTGTCCCTTCTTTCCTTTCCCCTCCCGCTTCCTTGTTCCCCTTCTCATTCTAACATTTTCTTCCCACTTCCCAGGGTCTGTTAGACATTTTGGTCCTTATTTCCACTTCGGTTCCTCACCCCAGAGAAACGGCGTGATGTTAGACACGTGTGCCCCATTTCTCTCACTTGCCGGGGTGATGTGGGAGCTGGAGCTGGTGAATCATGAGGGGAGGGCGGCTTGGGGTCAGAGAGGCCTAAGAGGCAGTGGCAGCAGCCCAGGTGTCACTGAGGAGGGGACGAGGTGGCAAAAATGGAAAAGTGCCCAGAGATCTGGGAGATTCCGTTGGCCCCGATTTCCGCACCTCCTCCTCTCCCCACTCTTCGCTCAGCAGCGAGCGCCCTGCTCTCTGCGCCTCTACAACTCGGCAGTGGGGCCTTTCAGTGGGAAAGGTGCCCGCGCGGTGACATGGAACAAGCTGGTGCAGGTGGTGCCCCTGCCACCTGCTCCCGTTTCTCCCCTGTGCTGCCGGCTGGGGCAGGTGCCAGGAGGGCTCGAGGCCGCTGGCTCCCATCGGTCCAGGGAATCCCCAAGCCTGTAGGACTCACCGCCATGCCGGGGCACCCTGACACCAGTTCCTGAAAGCAAAGCAAGAGGGAGGTGGAGCTGGAGGGCACGACTGGATGCCCGGACTCCAGTCACACCCATCCCAGCCTCGGGAGAGGACCCTAGACTGGGGAGATTCACTGCTCTGTAAGAGCAGACCCAGGCCAGCTCCGGGACCAGGGATAGTCGCCCCTAACGGCTGCCCCGGGAAAGAGGGACCTTACATTGCATGCTACCGGCAAGAAGCTGGAGCCAGGGGTGGTGGCACGCACCTCTGCCTCTGGGAGGCAGAGGCACAGAGATCAAAAGTTCAAGCCCAGATTGGACAACACAGTAACTTAGCAAGAACCTATCTCAAAAGAAAAAAAAAAATGAAAGGGCTGGAAATGCAGCTCAATTCAGGGGTCCTGGATTCAATCCCCAGTACCAGAAAGGGGGGGAGAGGGAGAGAGAGAGAAGAGGAAGAGGAAGAAGAAGGAGGAGGAGGAAAAAAGAGGAAGAAGAGGAGAAGGGGAAGGAGGAGAAGAAGAGGGGGAAGAGAAGGAGGAAGATGAAGAAGAAAGGAGAAAAGAAAAAGAAACCAGCAAGGCTAGGGCAGTCTTCTAGGCAGGACAGAAGTTATGACTTGCCCACTCCAGGCCTGTGTTTCCAGCCTGGGCCAGGGGCCTTGGGCTTAAGCAGGATCCAGGCCTTGTCCTAAATCCCACCAAGCTGGGACACCTCGGGAAGACAGCCAGGGAGGGGGCCGAGGGCCCGCTCCTGCATAGACACTGCCCTGCAGAAATGAGCAGGGCCCGTGCTTCCCACCCGTACACTGCCTGAGCCCACAGCTTGCCAAGAGGGCCGCTGGTGGGTTTTGGTTCCCAGGTGCCCCAGCCCCACCTCCAGGCAGAGCAGACCCTGCCACTTCCGAGCTTCTCAGCATTGCTCAGACACTTGGTCCTAGGGCCAGGGATTTAGCTCGGTTCCACCGCCTGCCTCACAAGCACAAGGTCCCGAGTTCTATCCCCAGTACCAAAAAACCCCAAAAAACAAACAAGACACTTGGTCCTCTCTGACTTCTGATTCTTGCTGTGAAATGGGGATGTTGATGTACCACAGACCACACACACAGTGACAATGACAAGAGATGATGTTAAATCATCTTGCGGCCCGGAGAAATAGACACCTAGGCTCTGGAGTAAGCTCTTTCCTTGAAGACAGCATGTCCCTGCTGCTGGCCTGCTCTGTGCTCAGAGCTCCCCCTGCATCTTGACTCTGTGCCATCTGTAGCGTCTTGGGCTGAGACAGGACTCAGTGCCCGCTTGCCGGGGACACCTGGGCCATGGCTGAGGGCCACCTGGGACTCCGGTCCTCTGCTTTATTGCAGTAACAGGAAGTCAGACCCCAGGCAGTCCTGGCCCGAGAGTGTGCCACGATCCTATGAGATAGTGACTCTGTCCATCTTGGCAGGGGCTGCTCCTTCTGCGGCATGCTGTCGCCTCACTGCCACCCTTCCAGGATGGCTCAGGTGCCCTCCCACAGAACACACACACACACACACACACACACACACACACACACAGAGCCAACATGTGCAGGTTTCCAGATCACCTGTCCACAAACACTGGCTTCACCCAGATGCTCAACTTGTGTCACTTGGATACTGAGGCCTTTGACACAGGAGAACTGGGACAGAGAGGTCGGGTCCCACACTGCAGGCGTGGTCACTCCAGCTGGTGTGGTGACCTCAGTGGAGGGACCAGAGGGGCCTTGTCAGTGTTGGTCATCATTGCAGAGACCACCTGCCTGCCCGAGGTGGGTCCGGGAGGCCCAGGGCCCCCTCGCCAGCAGAGCCCTGCCAGGAGGAAAAAGCCTTATGTCAGCGCAGGACACAGAGAGCCCTTGGACAGGTGGCTTTCCTGCCCTCTTTGGGCTCAGCTTCCCTTCCTGCAAAATGGGAGGGAGGAGATCTGGGCTCGGGCCTTCCAGAGCCCTCTGTGCTGAACACCAATGGCTCTCAGAAGCATCTCCATTCCCGGGGAAGTGGGAGTGGATCTCAGTCGACTGCAGGGTTCTCGCCACTTCCCGTCCCCCACCCCACTACAGGCCCCGGAACCCACATGCCAGCCAGTCCAGTCACGATGTTGCTTTAAGGCTGGGCCGAGGGGCAGCACCTGGAGCCCCAGGGACCTGGAAGGCCACCCAGAGTCACTCTGAGTCCCGAGTGGGCAGCAGTGAGTAAGGGTGGGGATGCAGGACCTCTGGGAGGGGACTTCAGAGTGGGCAGTTTGGAGGGCACCCACCAGCAGGAGGGACAGCCTCATTTGGCCTGAGCCATGACACTCAGGGCCTCAGTTTCCCTGGCAGGTAGGTGGGATGGGTTCTTACCTGGCGGCGAGCATGGCCCAGTGCGCCTGGGTTTCAGCCGGCCCTCCTCCTGCTCCCCTGACCCTAACAGGCACTGCCACCCCTGCTACCTTGCCAGGCAGGGCTGCTAGTGGGGGGCAGGTGTCCAAGAGGTAGGTACTGAGTGTAGAGCTGCTGCAGAGACAAACATCACACAAGAAGAGCATAAGCAGTTTCCATGTGTTCTACCCTGCGTAGGTGCTCTGGTGCTATTGTGCCCACATTACAGCAGAGGGCACTAACGCATGGAGAAGCTGGCTAGCCGGCCCTGTGTCCGAGCAGGGTCCCTGTGCTCATGGACTCCTGCCATCTCAGCTGCACTAGCTGCATAATTTGGGCTCAGCTGAAAAAAAGGAAGATGTCATTAGTGCTTCTCCTCTATGAAACATTTGCACTGAGCCTAACGTTTTAGTGGGTTGATATTACTGATGCCCCCTAGAGACCCTGCCCTAGCTCACTGTGCTACAGCTGGACACAGGCTCTTTTCCAAGGCAGGGCCATTACACACAAGGCCATGGGAAATACCCTTTTGGACAAAGTCCTGCTCCGTGTCCTGAGTTTCAGCTGGAAATATTGGGAGCCCTCTTTCCCACGTGTCCTGGGGCACACTCTCTCCCCCATGACATGACAAGAACAGCTGACCTCATGGAACTGAGAAGGAGAGGAGAGGCAGCACGCAACCCTCAAGGCCCAGTCCTGCTGGCCTAAGGACCCATGGGTCCCCCTGCCACTCCCAGCTGCCCAGAAGGTCGCCACAGTGGGGGGCCTTACACCCATCAGGCCAGGGGTCCCCTCAACCTAGACTGGTACTATGTCCTCGGAGGAGAGCTGCAGGTCAGTGGGGTGGGGGACCTCTGGCATTGCTCAGTAATCTCTCAAGAGAGTCCTCTTCTGGGCCAGGCCCTGCCCTGAGCCCTGAGCCTTGAGGACAAGCCCCGTGACAGAAGTGGATGACAACAGGAGGAGCCAGAGCTGTGTGAGAGAAGACGTGGTCCTGCAGAGATGTGGGCAATGCAGGAAGGCTCCCAGGGGGAGGTGGCAGCTGAGCTCAGCAGAGGAGCTAAGGGCCCAGGTGGCAGGAGGAGTCAGATCACTGGGACCCTGTCCTGCTTCTGTCACCACTGGCCGAGGGACTCCCGCCGCCCAAGCCTCAGTTCCCTCATCTGAAGTTAAGCAGGAGCAATGCCCGAAATAGCCACTGTCCTGAGGTGCTTCCACATGCTCAGGGCTGAGTGCCTGGTGTCTGTTCACCACCTCTCTCTTGTTACTTCCACTTGCAGAGAGGAAATCGAGGCATTGAGGTGCTGTGTGACTCGCCCATGGACACCAGCTCCTGCGTGTCAGAACCGGGGCTTGCATGTGGGCAGCCTGGCCCAGTTTCTGCTCTCTCGCACCCCTGGCTCAGGGAACTCCTGTGAGAGCTCAGTGTGTGAGGGCTCAGCCCAGGGCCTGCACCCAGGGCCCAGAAAAGGGCTTCATCCCCTATGTGGCCGAGGCACAGTGCAGGGGCTGACGGAGAAACAGTTGCGTTCAGAGTTTCTCAGCTTGCTTTTCTATGATTGGTTCCTCCCCTAGCCTTCTTGCACATTTTTTCTTAATCCTCTCCATGAAATCTGACTCATGTAGGTTGGGACATCTGGTTCTGCTGTGTGCACAGATCTGGCCCATGAGGAAGGATGTACTCTGGATGGCCTTACTCCACACGGTAGCCAGCCTGCCCCTCACCGGGCCTTCGTGCATCCTCTGTCCCCCGAGCCAGCTGTCCTGCAGGGCCTGGGTAAGAATCACTGTTGCCACATGCAGAAGAGGAAGGGAGGTCACACAGAGGACGGCAGCAAGAGTCACTGGCTGGAGCGCTTGTGCCCCACTCCCACACCCCACTGTAAGCACTGGATTGGGGCACAGCAGGAGCTAATCCAGACCCCAGGAGCCAGCTGGGGAATCCTGGATGCCTCTCTTCCCCTTGTCCCGTGGTGAAGAATGGGACAATATCTCTGCTCTCCACCTGTGGCACTGTGAGCCCAGGTAGAGCATTGGGCAGGGGCACTGGCCAGGAGCCACAGCTGTTTCACGGGACCCTGAGAGGGAAGGGCAGGCTGCCGGGGACAATCCCATCAAACCTTGCACTTCTCAGATGAGAGACGGTGGCCTCAGAGACCCGGGTCCCACGGCAAGTTCATGGCGCACGACGTTTCCATTCCTCCAGGGTAGTTGGTAACTCCCGCTAATTCTTTTGCCACCCCCCTAATCTCTTGGTCCCCTTCTCATCTGCAAAAGATCTAGCTGCCTTCTTCCTACCATCTAGCTTTTGTTTTGCTCTTTATTTCTACTTTGAGTTTTTCATATAATAGAAATCATGTGACATTTGAGCTTCTGGGTCTGGTTTATTTCACTTAACACTATGGTCGCGACCCAAGTCTTAGATTTGGAAACCAGTGTGGCTGTGTATCAAGTACTCTTTCCTGTCCTCTGCAGCCTGCGGGGGCCAGCAGCTGATTCATATGGGGTGGCTCCCCTGCCCCTGCTGACCCCGGGCACTTCGCTGTCTAGGGGTCCTGGCTGCCCCTGAAATCACACATAGGCCTCTTGGATGTTGGCTTGTGCGGGGCCCTCCCTGCTGCCCTCTGTCTCCCCGATTATTCATCTGCTTATTCTCTCATGCAATGAGCTAACATTGACTGAGCACCGGCTGTGCGCCAGGCCTATTTGGAATACTGATGATGCAGCAGCGGACGAGACAGACACAGTGCCCACCCTGGGGATCCTGCATCTTCAGTGTAAGCACCCTGGGTGAGGTGGGGCCTCGCTGTGTATCCAGCAAAGTTACTAGGCTTTCCGAGCAACATCGGATTTCTCATCTGTCAGCTGGGGTGACCACCGACCTTTGCCCTTGCCTTGCTGTGAGGCAGCTGAGAGAGATGGAGAAGTGTCACACCCAGCTCCTTCTGCTCTGACAGAGTGCTGCAGCCATGCCGCACCCCTGCGCCCCAGGCTGACTGGGGTCTCAACTCTGCGAGGCCCATTTTACAGACCAGAAGGCTGGGGTGGCCCAGGAACAGCCGCACTGAGGGGGACAGAGGAGCTGAGCTTTGTAGCCAGGGCCTGCACTCAGCTGCAAAACGAGCAGCATCGGCTGCCCCCAGCCTGGCGTGAATCCGAAACAAGATGACAGCTGGAGCGTTGGGCAGTGTCTTGTCCCTTGTCCCCTCCCCTTCCCCTACTGTGCTCACTCAGCTCAGCAGAAGGCCCCAGGTCTCCTGCCCTCACTGGCTCCAGAGCAGCAAGCTCCTGGCCTTAGTGGGTTTCTGGGCATAGTACTGTGACCCAGGACTGAGCCCCACAGCCACAGGGCTCCCACAGTGCAGAGGGAGCCTCCCCTGGAAGTGTGTGACCGGCACCTGCCAGGGTCGGTAAGCCCAGCTGCCCCCAGGTGACAGGAGGCTGCTGCATGCCTGCCCTCTAAGCAAACTTCCTGCTGTGGGCTGTGCCTGCCTGCCGGATGTCACCTGCTGGAGTGGCCCAGGTGTACTCAAAGCCAGTCCCGTATCTCCAGGGGCGTAGATAACCTGGGGAGAGGCATGGGCATGGCTGGGAGGTGAGCAGGGCAGGAATGGGGCAGGTCTGGAAGCCCCGTTACCAGTTTTCTGACCTTTGTCAAGGCTTTTTCCACTTTCCCCTCTCCTGCACCTGTGACGGGGGAATTATTATCCCCTCATCATAGATGAGGATTGAGAGGTTTAGAGACGGTGTGAAGCAGGCCTGGGTCACACAGAGACAGAACCCAGCTTGCCTGCCTCTGGGAGCACCGTTCTTTGTCCTAACCTCCCACGCAGAGGATTCTGGGAACCTTGAGGCAGTGAGGCTCTATTGGTGTCCTCAGCTGCAGGGCCTCTGACCACACCCTGCATCCTGCACCACACAGGCTGGGCTCAAATCCAAGGTGCCAGTCACCCTGTACTGTCACCCTGGCCTGTGTGTCGCCCAGCAAGTCTGCCAGCTGGTGGGGTTCTCTGAGGGCCTCAGTGGACTCGGGTCTAGAAGACACTTTGCCAAAGGTGGGTCCTGCCCCAATGGACACTGGTGTCCCGGGAGGGCAGCAGCGTTGTCTGCATAGCACATGCTAGTGTCCTAGGAGTGAGAGGGCACGGTCACCCTCATTTCACAGATGGAGAAACAGGGGCCCTAGTGAAAGCGCTACTAATTCCTGATCCCCACCAAGAATGGGTGGAGCTGGGAGCTGAGCCAGCCAGGGCCACACCCATAGTCATCCCTCGAGTGACTCGGAGACGGCCTTCAGGTCACCTAGCCCGCTCCAAAGCAGGCAGTAACACCCAGCACTGTCGAAGGACCCCTCTGGCCTACACTGACCCCACCTGCCTCAGTCCAGGACCCACGGAGAGACTGCTGGCTGTAGCCTGTGGTTTCTCAGGAGGCCTAAGGCCGCCCAGCTCCCACTATCTTCCCACTCAATGGGAGGCCTCCCCACGGCATCAGGAGGGAAGTCCAAGGTCAGCTCATCTGCTCTCCTACCTTCATTGCCCCAGCTGCTCTGTTCAGAAAGCCTGCATCCTGGAAAGGTCAGGGCATCTGCTGGGGCTGCAGAAGGTGCTGAGCCTGAAACTTGAGGTGCTATGAAAAGTGTGCTCCAGGAGCAGAGCTCTCCAGCCAGCTGCACCTGAGTCCTGCAGGAGCCTGGTGATGTTCCCAGTTGGCCATGGTGCCTATGATCCATGGCATCCCAGCCCAGCGCACCATCCTGTGCCCTGCTGAGGAGCCAGCTAAGGAGACCCAGGAGTGGGAGGTGGCAGTGCCACAGCAGATCACACAATTGCCAGTCCTTGGCCCCAGCCCCTGAGCTGGGCACTGAGCAGCCACGGTGCCTGTGCTGGGTACAGGCAGATGTGCTGTGCAGGCTGCCTGAGCTGGAGGGGCAGCTTGGAGATGTCCTGCCTGCCTCGGCCTCCCGGAGCTTCCACCCTGGCCCCTCCACTGTCATTGGCAGTGGCACCCAGGGAGTCTGCTCAGGTACTTGCCTCACTCAGCTCAGCCAGAAGGAGGCAGCCCTGCACCCGAGAGCGGCTCCCTCTGGCCGGGGCCTGCTTCTCTGGCCACGGGGCCCTCACCACCCAGGCCTGGGGACCAGCGGCAGGCAGTATCTGGGAGACCCCTGAGAGGGAACCCCGTGGAATCCACCCCGTCAATCTTTATGGGGACCAGAAGAGCAGCGGGACTGTGCCCGCCCTGCCAGCCCCCCCCCCACTGCCCAGGAGCACCTCCAGCTTTGAAGGGCAAAGTGCACCTGCCACCTCTGGCCTCTCCTCGGCCACTGGCCACCAGCTGTGTGAACCCGAAGGCCTCTATTCCTGCCAGTGGTTGGCACTCAGGACTCCCAGGTAGGCTTCCCCCAGGGGGGCCCTGCTCCGGATCGTCTTGCCCCTCCCTCTTCACAGCTCAAACTTGCTGCACCAAGGGCTCTGAGCCCTCCTGATGGACCTGGCACTGTCGGGGGAGCTGGCTCACCCTGCCGCTGGACCCCCATGCTGCACAAACAGTGAGGTGCTAATGAGCACCCCACCCCCTGCCTTCTCCTCCAGCACAGCTGGACCCCCAGACCCTCCCCAGGTCAGCTCCGCTGCCTCGGTCTTCCTGGGACCCCAGCCTCTCCCCTCTGATTGGGGACTTCCTCTTGGACTGTTCTTTGGATGCAGTGGTGATGGGGCAGGCTGGGGGAGCTGCTGTCTGCAGCCAAGGCCCCAGGACCCCCCCCACATGCACACCTGTCAGGAAGTGCTCCCTTTATCATCTATGTATGCAGCTGACGGCAGCGGCCCCTCCTCCACACAAGGACCCCCATACCCGTGCCACCTGTACCAAGCCCTGTGGCCTGCCTTGTGCCTGCCTTCACCTCTTTTACAGCTTATCTTCCTTTCTGCGTGCTGTCTGTCCTTTCCTGTTTTCTGTCTTCCCCACTATACCCTCGCATTCCTGCTAAGATCCTGTGCAGACTTCCTGGACCCCGGCTGAGCGCTCCTTGACCTGACACTAGGGGGAGCAGTCTCACATTTCTGGCCCCCAGACCCCAGGCAAGTTGGTCAGATCCTTTCGGATGTGCCCCTTGTGGGCCTGGGCACCACTCAGTCTTGGAAGCACACAGCCAACCTTGCCGAGCTCTCTCGGTCCTGGGGGACCCCCATGGGCCCAGGACGGTGTCTGAAACTCTGCTTCTCCTCTCATCCTGTGCTGGGGACTGGGGGGGCCTCCATCAGCTTCACAGAGAGGAGGGACGATGTCATGGGGACTCCAAGCTCCTTCCTCCATTTCTGGTGACAGTTGTGGTTTAGTATTCACTGTCTTCACACAACACTAAGCATTTTATAAAACAGAAACTAAAAACCAAAAACCAAAAAGAAGTGGTTGACCTGGTGGGTAGTGAGCTGTCTGTTTCTGGAGACATGTAAGCAGGAATAATCATCAAGCAGACTTACCATATCAAGGTCTCAAACATCCAGCTGCACAGGTTTTGTTCCACCATGCCCTTCCATTATGACTTCATGATTCCTGACCATGGACTGAATCTCCTGAAACCATTAAAAATTAAATCTCCCTTTAAGTTGTGAGTGTCAGACATTGTATCCAGCAACAAGAAAGCTGACTAATACAGATCAGTTTTTCAGCAAACATCCTTGCCCTCAACTCCTGAATACTCAGAGTCAGTCCCTGCCCTAGCACAGTGACAGAAGATTTCAGTGGGAGCCTACAGCAGGGAGTGGGAGCTCAGCTGCAGGAGGGGCAGGTCAGGAACCATCCTGGAGGAGCCTTGCAGGACGTGTGGAGAGCAGAGCTGGGAGGTGGGCAAGGCCTTCCCTGCTGAGGAAAGACTGGGAGGGCGGAGCGGGCAGGGGCTGCTCACGCCCAGTCTCAGCTACATGCAGGGGCACCAGGGTGCTGCAGAGATGAGCCCAGGCCATGGAGTAGTCCCTGGCCTGGCATGCAGTCGGGCTCTGCACTGGCCAGGCTTACATAATTTTTTCTGCTTCTGCAGGACCCCAGGAGTGGATCCCACCCCCACGGATGTGGAGGTCACAGGCTACGCACTGGCTGAGGCCCACACGCCCTGCGGAGAAGGACCTGCAGCACAGCGCCCTCTGTGACCCCTGCTGGGTGCCCCACCCCACCCAGCTCAGCATGTGCTCCAAGCTCCCGCTGTTGTTGCTGTAGAAACACCACCTGCCAGGGTGCTGTCCCCAGGCCCAGCTCAGACTTTGGGCGGCCCTGAAGCTGGTGAAAAAAGCCATGAGCCTTTCCCGGGGCCTCCTGATATGCAGTAGTCACTCAATGAATGCTTGTTGCTGAATGATGTTTTATGTATCTATTGCTGTATAACAAACCTCCCTAAAATTTACCAGCCTAAAATAAATCCCATTTAATGAGGCCTCACAATCTAGACACGGTTGGTCCCCATGGTCCTTCAGCTCCCTGTGGCATCGGTGGCCTGCAGGCATCAGGGTCCCAGAGGAACATAGTGTCCAGGGTGGCTTTCACAGCGGCAGCCGGGGGATGTGTGTAGAGGGGAGCACGGGACTGGTGTGCAGAGGCAGCAGCCCAAGCTTGTAAACCCTGAACTCAGACCCAGGGAGCTGGACCAGGCTGCCATCCTGGTGACCTCGCACAGCGGCTTGTCCTCTTTCTGCCTCAATTTCCTTGCCTGTAAAATGGAATTGGGACTTGCAGGGGGCCCAGCCCCACCTCCCAGTCTAAGGGGAGGGTGAGCGAGGTGACCCTGTGGTCACTGTGGTGATCCATAGTGGACCCTGTGGGCTCAGCACCAGTGTGGCCTCTTTGCCGTGGGCCAGGGGCCAAGTGCGGCGCTTCCCAGGTGCTGGGAGTACAGGTGGCCCCCTCACCAGGTGCTGACCCGGGCTTGCCGATGGGGTGCTCACTGCTCCCTTTGCTCTCCCTGGGCAGGAGCGTGCTATCTGTACAGCGACATTCTGCTGCCCTGCATCTCCACGGGCCCTGTTTCAGATGAGAAAACCAGCCCAGGGAGGCTGCAAGACCTTGCCAGGGCCCCACAGCAAGCAGGGGTCCGAGGCCTTGGGTCAGCCAGCTGGATGAGGACAGGGTCCAGCGGCCTCCTGTGTGCTGGGCCTCCTGCCACTGTCATCTCACAGAGCTGCTCCTGACAGGCTGTGTATACAGGGCCCATGCTGCACTCAGGCCTGGCTGGGCCATGGGCCACAGGACTTGGGGCCACCTCCTGCTTGACGCCCTGTAGCTGCCCACTGGTGCCCTCCCCAGTCTTCTCAGTTCAGAGCCAAGAGCGAGCCTGGCCAGATCAGAACCCGGTTCCCAGCCCCTGTGAACAATGAGACTGTCATGTGGGTCTGGGACAAGGTCGCCCCCCCCCCGCCACCGGCCCCCCAGCAAGGGCTGTGTACTTGCCAGTCCCTCTCTGCCGAGGGGCCTGGGGCCCTCTGGAACCCTTTTCCTAACCCTAACCCTAACCCTGGTCCCCTCCTGTTCCCCCCTCCCTCCCCTCTCTGGTCACTGAGTCCCCTCCCCTGCCCAGTCCCCCCAGGGCAATGCACGAGTCAGGAAGATGCCTGGCTCTGCCTTGCTGTGGGACCTGGGCTGGACATAGCAGTCACCAAACCTCTGCAGTCCTGCAGCAGTCAATGCCTCCTTCCTACCCCAAAAGCCAGGAATTTCCCCCAGGGTGGGCGAGTTAATGAGTGGCAGGAGCTGGAGGGACACAAAGCCCTTTCCTGCATTTCCTCTCCAGGGGGCTCACCTGGGTCCTGTCCGGAAGCCCTCAGCAGGGACAGTGACTTGCTCAAGGTCACCTGGAGGCTGAGCCAAGGCCACAGAGGCAGCCTCACCCAGGCGAGTGGCCGTGCCCTCTGCCCACAGATGTCACTGACAGCCTTCTCCCTTCCTGCCCCGAAGACAGCAGTGAAGAAGATAAAGTTGTTACCCTTCGGGAGCTTGGGTTCTTGTTGAGAAGACAGACAGGAGATGGGGCAAACTAATAATGTGTGTGGTGTTAGATGGCAATGAAGACGGAGATGGTTAATTAGGAGAGGAGAACAGGCACCCTTCGGGGAGGAGTTTTGAAATTTTAGAGCAGGACCAGGGGAGATCTCATATGAAGCTGACATTCGGCGGAAGACATGAAAGAGGTAAGGGAGGCAGCCCTGGCGATATGTGGGAGGAAGAGCATACAGGGCAGAAGGAACAGCAGGTTCAAAGGCCCTGGGGTGCCTGTGCCTTCCAGGAACAGCCAAGAGCCAGGGTGGTCCAAGGAGAGTGAGTGACCGCTGAGAGGGGCGATGTGCAGGCAGCAAAGGCGCATCACCCTGAGCCTCTGAGTTACCTGGAAGCCTCTGGCCTTTATGCTGAGTAGATAGGGAGCTGTCAGGGTTCTGAGCAGAGGGGTGACCTAGAAGTAGGGGTAGAAAGAGACTTCAGGGATCGATGAAGGGAACCAGAGAGAGGGAGACAGACAATGGGGCTCACACCAGGAATGGGGGGCTAAGAAGTGATTGGAGTCTTTTTTCTTTTTCTTCATTACTGGGGATTGGACCCAGCCAGGGCTTTCGTACTAAGCTGCATCCCGAGTCCATTTTATTTCGAGACAGGTCTAGCCAAGTCTCTAAGTTGCCCGGACTAGGCTCAAACTGGTGATCCCTCCCCCTGGGCTTCCAGGAGAGCTGGGATCACAGGCGTGCGCCACCGCCTAGCTGTGAATGGGCTCCATTTGCTGCGGCCGGAGAGGGGCGGGGGGGAGGTGAGGCTGGGGGTGCCCTGGGGGTGCCCTGGAGACTGCCCGGCGGGATGGCAGGAGGGTGTCGGATGCCTGCGCACAGCCTAACCTCAGTCGGGGGTCCCCGCTCCCCCTGCGGGTCCGCCCTCCCCTCCCCGCGCAAGGCTCGGCTGCGCTGGGCCTCACCGGCTCCCCTCGGGCTCCAGACGGCCAGGCCCGCGGCCCTGTGTGCACGGCGTCTCTACCGCGGTGTCCTTGTGTGTGCCCGGCCGCCATGGCCCCAGCACCTGCACGATCCCAGCTCTGAGCCTGCGGCTCCTTCTTCGGGGCCCGGTTTCTGCCCCCCTCAAGCGGGCATGTCCTTCCCCTCTGCGCGCCTGTGGGTGTGACCCGGCCCAAGGGCCTTTGCCAGGGAGCCCCTGCTGTCCGTGTGGCCGCGCTCCCGGGGCAAGGCTGAGGCAAGGTCAAGAGGGGACCCTTTCACAGGCGCCCTGAGCTCGGTGTCCTCACCTCACCGTGCCGGAGGTGACAGCCGCGGCCCCGCCCTGGGGGGTGCGGACCCAGCGGATCACGGGCTTGCAACGGTCGCCACCAGGGGGCGCAGAAGATGACGCCCCACGCAGCCACCAGGTCCCGGGGTGCCGCCCCTTCCCCTCCTCCCCGGTGCCTGTCTCTTCCTTCCTCTCCCTCCCATCCCCTGGCCCCCTCTCTCCTCCCGGGTGCAGGACTGAGGATAGACCGGGGCTTCCACTCAGCACCAGATGTGATCAAAGATACAGTGAGGTTTAAATGTACCTTTCACGGTCCTTGTGACTTGGAGAGAGCCCAAGTCACACCGTGCCAGGTGGGTGAGGACACCTTCAGGTTTTTATTGGACAGAAACTGCGTTTTGAATCAATTCAGGACATTGAGGCAGCCACAAAATGACACTCACAAAAGAGGACTTCCAGGATTTCGGGACTTCAGAGAGTGGCAAGAACAACAGGATAAGTGTGCTTTAACCGAGGGGGTGTATTTTGAGAGGGATTAATGGCAACGAGTCATTTACTGCAATAAAATTTAACAAAAAACGGTGGCCAAGTTTATTCAAGAAAGTAAAAGAGTGGGAGAGAAAGTGGCTTTGCAGAGCAAGCTTGGGCCTAGTAAATAGGAAAAGAGGGTAAGAGCAAAGATAAAGTACACGCCGTGTGTGGGAAACAGCGTGGGCTATCGTGGAAAGCTACAATAGCTTGCAATAAAATTTTTTTTTTTGGTATGGGGATCAGACCTGGGACCTTGTGCTTGTGAGACAGGAGGCGGAACCACTGAGCTAAGTGCTGGGCCCTGCAATAAATAATTTTTTAAAAAATTTAACTCTCACCATATTTTTTTAATCATACCACTTGCATCCCCAGGCCTTTTTTAATTTTTTACTTTGAGACAAGATTTCCCTACTAAGTTGTCCAGGCTGGCTTTGAATTGTGACCCTCCTGCTCAGCCTCTGGAGTGCTGGGATGGCAGGTGTGCACCACCACGCCCGGTATCCCAGTGACCTTGGACCTGCTCTTCCGGTGATGGTGATCATGTCTCCCTGGAAGGTCCTGCACTGTGAAGAATCAGTGCTTTCCCTCCATCTGTTGCTTCCCTCTACCAGACCTGGGAGGGGGCAGTGATGACGCAGCTGAAGCCCAGCTGCCTGGGGTCACCCGGAGGACTCAGACCTGCAGGCAACCCTGAACTCTGCCCCTCTACAGAATGTGCCTGCCTGCTTTGAGCAAAGATGGAGTGGGGCGTGAAAGGGGCCACACCTGAGAGCGCAGTGGGGTGAGGGGCCCGCAGAACCCTCGAGGACCAAGCCTTCCCAGGCTGCTCATTCACGTCCTGCGGGGCGATAGTTCACCCTGGCTGTTGGCGTGGGGGCAGCTCATTACACACAGGTCCTCATGGGGCCCAGAACACGAAGAGGGCAGAGGAGCCCAGCCTGGAGACTGCTGCCTTGCTGTGAGGGACTGTCATCCCCATTTTACAGAGGAGAAAGCTGAGGCATGGACCGCTACCTCGGCCAAGACCCACTGCCCACAGCAGGGAGGCAGAATTCACACCTGCGTCCTCCTGCTGCAGAACCTGTGCTCTGCACCAGGCAGGACCCCACTGCAGCTGGGTGAATGGGCTCTGGCCCTGGGCTCTGCCGTTTCCAGCTTGTGGCCTCTGGCAAGTCATTGGCCTGTGCCTCAGTGGGCTCTTCTGTAAGGTGGAATCGTGGCACCTGCTTTGAAGCCTTCCCTAAACTGAGCTGACAGCCATAACATGTCTGCAGATGCCCCGACGGGCTCATAACCTTGAAGAGTCTGAAATTCCTGGGGATTCTAAAGGGCAACTGGGGCCTGGGGTCTGGGGCTCCCCCAGTGGCCTTCGAGCCCTGCTTCCTGTGGCTGGAAGGTGTGGCACCTGCTGTCCACCACTCAGCCTGAGCTAGGCAAATGAGGTGATGTCAAAACCTTGGCTGGGCCCCAGCCCTGAACCGCCCCTCTCCCTCCTGGCTTCTGCTCTCCGGTTCACACTCACACTCAGGCCGGCTGTGCCCAGAGGGAAGGTGAGAGGCGCAGAGCAGCGGTGGGTGCTGGGTGAGCCAGCTCCAAAGCTCGCTCATCAGGCCTGTGGAGCTGCTGATCCTGGGCACAGGACCCTGCACCATCCTGCCCTGCCTTTAACTTGAAGCCTCAATTTGCAGTGACCCTGGGCTCATCCTCCCTGGCTCACACGGGATCGTGCTGGGCTCACAGGCCGGGCCAGTCGGGTGGCCATGGCAGACGAGAAGACCTTCCGCATTGGCTTCATCGTGCTGGGGCTCTTTCTGCTGTCCCTCGGCACCTTCCTAATGAGCCATGATCGGCCCCAGGTCTACGGCACCTTCTATGCCATGGGCAGCGTCATGGTGGTCGGGGGCGTCATCTGGAGCATGTGCCAGTGCTATCCTAAGGTAGGCAGTGGTGGGTAGGGTGGGGCCAGGGCCAGGAGGGCCAGCGTCCGTACCTGCCGCTGCTCCGTGCCCCAAGCCTCTGCCCTTCAACCCTCTTCGCATTCTTCCTGTCTTGACTCCCCAGTTTCTTCTCTGCTTTCCACACCCCCATTCACCCATCCATCTGTCTCTCACCACAGGGCTTGACTAGAAGCCGCTGGGTCCTGAGCCCCGAGCCCCAAGCCAAACATCTTGGGGAGACAGTGACACCCAATCCATAGGCTCCATCCAAGTGACCGTGCACTGACCAGCTGCCCGGTGTTCCTGCCTTCACCGTGCAGTGCTGCCCTTGGCTGAGCTTTTGATACTTTTAAAATTCTGGTGTTGGGGATCGAATCCAAGGCTTTGCAAGCGTTAGGCCAGCGCTCTACTACTGAGCTACACCTCCAGCCCTTTTAATTTTCCTTTGAGACAGGGTCTTGCTAAATTGTCCAGGCTGCCCTTGAGCTTTTAATTCTCCTGCCTCAGCCTCCTGAGTAGCTGGGATTACAGGCGTGCACCACCACGCCCCAGCCTTTCTGCTGCTGATTGCAGTTCCATTTCACAGTAGAAAGCTTGAGGCTCCCCGCTAGGCAGCAGTTTGGACTGGAGCTCAGCTGTGTGTGGCTTCCGGCCACCCTCCACCTCGGGGGCTCCAGCTGCGTCCCAGAGCTCCGGGAGGTCTGGGAGGGTCAGGTCTGCTCCAGATGGCACTTGAGCTCTCTCAGGCCTGTATGTTCCCAGCCTTGTGAGAGGTTCGTGTTGGGGAGCACTGGCTTAGAAGTTCTGTGTCTGGTTCCAGCTCTGTCCCGAACTCCGGGTGACCTTTGTCTTTCTGAACCTCAGCATTTCATCAGGGAAACGGGGCCCCATGTCTCTCGCCGCATAACCACATGGACTGTGATGCTCAGGGAGGAGACGGGCTATGGGATGTGTGCAGACTGCAGTGCTGTGTTTAGAGAAGGGGCTGCGCTGTTTCTGCTCTGATCCTCCCAACAGCGCCCTGGAATGGATGTGTCAGGAGTTGTAAACCTCTATGCCCAGAGAGGTTGGGTGACTCTTCCAAGGTCACACAGTTGGGCAAAGGCAGACTCTGAGAAATAAGGAGAGAAATGTGGTCTAACTTGGCTTCTGTCTCTTAACTGCCCGGGAGACTTTGCCTGAGCCCTTTCCCTCTCTGAGCCTCAGTTTCCTCAGCTGAGCAATGTGTGAATGAGGAGATGAGGTGGACAGAGGTCCATCTGAAGGCCTTGCTGAGGCTGACACCCAGTGCTCCAGGCCCTCCTCCACTCTGGCCCAGCCGCTTTGCTGAGGAGTCAGAGAGAGGAGAGGCCCTACCCCCTTCACGGTGCCGTGGGCTGCCCGAGCCGGGCAGTCTGCACTGGTTTGCATCCATCCCCAGCAGTTTACAGTCAACTCGCCTCTGACTGTGCAGCGTGCTGGGGAGAGGTCACGGGGAAGAGGGCCTGGGAGAAGCCACCGCGTCACCGCCACCATCAACACCCTCCTCCCAGGGAGGCCCGGCTGGGGCAGGGGACCTCGGAGGTGCAGGATGCATCCCTCCCGCTGCTCCCTTCCTACCGGACCGGCTGTGGTGGGCAGAGTCTGGGTGGCAGTGCAGCGGGGAACCGCTGGGCATTAATGAGTAACTGTTGACGGAGTCTCACGGTCATGTGCTCCCATGGCAGTGTGCTGGGGGGAACTTATGCCTCCCCGCGGCCTGCAGGCCTAGGTTCCCATCCTTGCCCTCTCAGTCACTTCTGTGACCTTGGAAGAGGGCGCCCACAACCCCGCGCCTTTTGTGGTCCAGTGGGGGTCCTGTGCAGGTGGGGTGTGACCTGGCTTCGTGCCTGGTGCAGAGCAGAGGGGCAGGCACCAGGGGGTTGCCACGGGTGGTGCGTGTGCATGCGCGTGTGTGTGCGCGCATGTGAGTCCCTCTGACCAGGGCAGGAGCACAGAGTGCTGCATCCCAGAGCACCCACAGCAGCGAGGCCCCCTGAGCCCACCCGGCCTCTCCCCCTCCTCCCAGCCCCTGCTCTATCTCTGCCCTGTCTGGGCTCAGTTTGGCCAACAGCCCCGCCCACTGAATCTGCCCCAATCAATCGCCCTGACTCAGTCCCAGCCCATTGAAAGCCATAGAGAATGGGAGCTCCCTGGGTTGAGCACTAAGTACATGCAAGGGACACAATTTAGCTAATAGGATAGGAAGATGAGGGTGAGCCGATAGCAAAAGGAATTCCATTGTCCCGGTTGTGAGTGTGTCCCAGGGCCAGCGAGGTTCCACCCCACCCGACGCTGCCTCTAGTGGGACCCTGATAGAGAGGAAGCTTCACAGAGAAGGTGAATGGGGGTTTGTAGGTTAAATAGAAGTTCACCCATTGTTTAGTGCAGCTGCTGCAGGAGAAAAGTAAAGGTGAAAGTGGAGGGGAGTGGGGTGGGGGGCAGGGATGCTACACTGAGGAAAGCAGACCTTTCCCTTCCGTGGATGGGACGAGGAGAGAACACAAGCAGCTGGGATGCTCTGGGCAGCCGGACCTGTGGCGGCTTCTCCTCTGGCGTAGGTGAGAGATGACGTCACCTGGACGCCCGCCTTGAGCCCCGAGGTGTAGGAGCCGAGCAGCATTTCTAGCCCCCCACAGCTGGCACACTGGGTCGGCAGGGGATGGGTGAGGAGGCCAGGTCTGGTGGGTGGGGCCACTAAGGAGGCTGAGACTGTAGACAACAGCGAGTGGGGGCTGGAGGACGGAAGGGTGGCCGGGGGAGCAGAGCTGTCCCTAAGCCCCACTCCCACTCTGCCGGCTTGGCTGGAACCCGGGACCAGGGCCTGTGCTCTCTGTGGGTTCCTTCTCTCTGCCTCCTCCCTTTGGGGACCGCTCAGCGTTCTCCTAGACACCCACCCGACTGGTGTCTCCTGCTGGGAGGTCCCTGAGGTTCCGTTGCTTCTGGAAAAGGCTGGGCTCTCGTCTGAGGCTCTGGGGTCTCTGTGGCCCGACCTCCCCTCCCCAGCCTCAGCGCTGCCTGTCCTCCTCCTGAGAACACCTGCGCTAAGGTGTCCTCCCCGGCTTCTCTGCCGGTGTCTCATAGTGGTAATGACGGTGATGTGGAGATGGGGCTGGGGTTGGTGGTGCTGGCGACGCTGGGGATGAAGATGGTCACCTTGCAGATGGGCATGGTGGCAGTGACCAGGCGACGGGGTAATAAGGAAGAAGAGTCAGCTTCTGAGAAGTACAGAGCCAGCTGGCCACAGGGCGTCCTCTCTAGGCTCCCCAGTGGAAGATGCCCAGACCCGGCCTTGCTTCCAGACGTCTGGGGGAAGAAAGCTCACCTCTTGCAGGAGTCTGAGAACCTCCCTACCACCATCCTTTCTCCCCATCAGGGCAGAACTTTCCTGGCGCAGAGTGTTGCACTCAGTGCACTCTGGGAGGGGAAAGGGGTGCTGCTTGCGAGCCAGCTTTAACACAGAGAGGTCTCATCAGATACTTTCGGAAAACATTTTCACTGAGGAGAGCAAGACTCAAGGAAGTCAGGTAGCCCGACCTCCCGTACTCCCCATGCCAAGACTGACGGGCACCGCCCTGGCTCCTCCTTCTCCATCATCTCAAGGAGCCCTCGCAGCAAGCCCAGGAGACAGGAGTCACCCTCCCACTTCTTAAAACTCATGGTAAAACATGCAGACACAGATGTTTCACTTTTTATTGGCTATGCAGATGGGTGGGTTTCATTTTTTTTTTTTTTTTTTTGTACCGGGGATCGAACTCGGGTCCTTGTGCTTGCGCAGCAGGTGGTGAAACCACTGAGCTAAATTCCCGGCGAGTGGGTTTCATTTTTGACAGAACAGACATACATTTTCTGTCTTAGCTGTGGTGAGGTAAACAGTCCTATGATAGTGAGAACATGCACAGTGTGACACGCTCACTTCTGAGATGCTTTTCATCTTGTGAAGCTGAAACCCACATTGGGCACATATGGCCCTCTCTTCGATGACTTCACTCGTTGTATGAGTTGTTTTCTCTAAACGAAAACCCCAGGATTCAGGCTTAATTGCAATGTTGGCACTTGGCGATAAATAAGTGGGTTTTGGATTGCAGTTTGGGTCCTTGTCTCTAAAAGCTTCACCATCACTGCCCCAGACCATTAAACAACATCTCCCCCTTATCCCTCTCCTCAGCCATTCTACTTCCCCCTGTGTGATTCTGGCCCCTCTGAGCTCCTCAGAGATGTGGAGTCTTACAGCGCCCGCCCTGCTGTGGTGGCTTCTTTGCAGCCCAGTGTCGTCCATGTTGTAGCACGTGTGCAAATCCCCCCCCCTTTCCAAGGCTGATCTGGGTTTCCTGGTGTGTGCACGTTGGCTTAGCCACCCGTCAGTGGGCACCTGCGCTCCTTGCTGTGGGGGTGCTGCGTGCAATGAGCACAGGTGGCCGGAGCACCCCATTGACCAGACCAGCTTGGGGAGGGGGTGACCTGCCAGAGGTCCTCAGTGAGGACCCTCAGAGGAGGCAGCTTCACCCCAACTCCCCAGCCCCAAAGGCAGAGCTCCTCAGACCCCATCCTACTGCCACCCTCATGCCCTGCCTCCTGCCCATCCCCGGGGCCCACCCCTGGGAGCTGCACATGCAGACGCCTGGATCCTGGAAGCTGCAGGGACAGGCACAGGTGGGGGCACCCACAGCCATCCACTGCTCTGTCCCCCACCCAGCCTCTGTGGCAAGAAGCATGGGGCAGCAGTCTGCTTTCCGTTCGCTCCCCAGGTGTGGGTGCAGCGCTGCGCCACTGGGTGGGCATGGGCTGGGCACCGACAGAGCACTGAGAACCGATGGGCTGTGAGCTTGGGCAGGGAGGGTCGCTTTTGCCTGGTGCCCAGAAGGGAGCCAGGTGCTCCACACACGTGCTGGGGCGATGGCAAAGAGCCAAGTGGGAGCAGGAGCCTGGTGATCTCCAGGGCCCAGGAATGTGTCTGTGCAGTTCCTCCCCACCTGCCCTGGTCGCTGCCCTCGCTGGGGATAAGTAGAGCTGTGTGCTGAGGCCTGGGACGAGCAGCGGCCGAGGCAGGGAAGGCAGACCCTGGGCAGCTGCAGAGAGAGGCCGTCCCCCTGTGGCCCACAGGTCACCTTTGTGCCCGCTGACTCTGACTTCCAAGGCATCCTGTCTGCAAAGGCCCTGCTGGAGAATGGACTAGCTGCAGAGATGAAGAGGTAGGTGCAAGGGGCGGCAGCCAGAGCCTTGGAGGGAACTCCCACCAAGCGGGGAGAGGAGGGGGGCTGAAAGCCCACCACACTCATGGCGGTTCCGGGCCTGCCTTCCTCCTACCTGCAGATGTGATCTTTGCACGGGTTGTTCTGAACTCTGTTTTGTGAGTGAAGCCTTCTTAATCCCATTTTATAGATGTGGAAACTGAGGCTCAGAGGAACGCAGTCCCAAGCCCCAAACCTCAGAGGGAGTGGGGTGAAGGCGGAGCCTGAACTCTGGCCTGACCTGGCCACAGAGTGTCTTAGCGGCCCCTCTCAGCGGGGGCGCAGCTCTCAGAGCACCTGGGCTTCTGCCCATCCTGCAGGCCCGCTCTGTAGGCCCCGGGCTCTCTCTCCTGCATCTGGGCAAGATGGTGGCAGCGGGATTCTCTGCTCCCAGAACTCCAGTTTAGCAGCGTCTTGGTGGGGATGAACTGAGTGGTTCCTGGGAGGGCAAAGGGGCCATTTCCAGCCGGGGAGCTGCTGTGATGGAGCCAGGGTCAGGTCACTGGGGTCTTGGACCTTTCTGGTCATCTCCTAGGAGTGTGGCCTTGGGCAGGGGACCCAGTGTCTGAGCACAGTGACAGAGAACAGGATGCCTGGGGCCAGCACCAGCACCTCACTCCCGTGTCACTGAGGCACAAGCCAGCGTCAGGCCCTGGGCCTCGGTTTCCTCACAGCATGCAGGGGTGACGGGGGATTAGAGGAGCTGGCAGGTGAGGACCCCGGAGCTGGGGACCCTGCCTGCCGATGCACCCCCAGCCTTGGGTGCTGCTGAGTGCCGAGATAAGCATCAGGGCCTAGCATGGGCCCTGAGTTCACTGCTCCTCATTTTGCCATCACACGAGGGGAGCACGGGGCTGAGAGTCAGGCTGGGGCCTGCCTGAGTTCTGCCCCTTGGTTTCTCACCCCACTGGGCCCTGGCCTCCCATGAAATGGGTGCATCCCTGGAAGGCTCTCGTGAGACGACGGCGGCAGGGAGGGGGGGAGCACAGGCCCAGAGCAGAGCCAGGCCGGCTGCGTGATGAGGCCCATTCTCTCTCCTACCCTCTCTGTGGGGCCCCAGCCCCCAGCCCCCCTACACCAGGCTGTGGGAGGAGGCCGCCTATGACCAGAGCCTGCCTGACTTCAGCCACATCCAGATGAAGGCCCTGGGCTACAGCGAGGACTCCCGCATGCTGCTGGCCTCTGAGCCAGGGCCAAGGCCCAGGGACACTGGAGAAGGTGGCCCTTGTGATGCTCAGGCCTGGGTGGAGGCGGCCGTGGTCGTCCACAGGGGCGTGGACCAGAGCGAGGGAGAAAGGACCCGGACTCAGAGCAGCCCCAGGTGAGTGTGTAGACCTGGGAGTCAGTGCTGCCTGGCCCCAGAGCACAGGAGGGGGACTCAGAGGGCCCTGGGAAGTGGGAGGGCAGGCAGCGGAGGGTGCGGGACACTCCGAGGCCTCAGGTGTAGCAGGTGAGTGAGCACGGGCCAAGGAGTGGGGCAGCCCTTTGGCTGTGTGAACTTGGCAAGTTCCTTATTGTCCTAGGCCTCAGTTTCCCCAGTGGGAGCGGTCATTCCCACACAGGGTGTTGTCAGGACTGGGACGGGCATTGCCATGCCTGGAGCATGGTGGGCTCCTCCTTGTCACGAGTGGAAGGACCCAGGAGCCAGAGGACTAAAGTTCCAATCCTAGCTGAGCGGCCAACCTGCTCTGTGACCTTGGGCAGGTCAGACCCCACTCATCCTGTCCCTGTTTGCTTGTGAGCTGAGCTCCTGATTCATCCATTTCTTCATTCAGTCCATCATGGTTCCTGGGCGCCAACTCCCTGCCAGCCCTCGACAGGCTTCTGACCTTGGGGGAGGCTGCCAGGGAACAGAGGGGACCCCGGTGTGATGGGGAGAACCCTGAATGCCTGGACAAGTGGAGGAGTGGCCTGGTTCAGATAATAACAGAATAGCTACGTGCTAGCCTGCTAGGTGCTAGCACTGTGCCAAGTGCTTTGCCCACATTACCTGTATAAATCTCAGAAACACCCACTGGAGTGAATGCTGTTATTTCCCCTACTCTGCAGGGGAGGAAACTGAGGCCCAGACAGATGGACTTCCTCCCCCAGGCCTTGCAGCTAGTGGCTGGGACCTGGACCCCATGGTCTGACCAGAGCTGCGCTTGACCTCACAATCTTTGTCCCTGCAGCCTGACGGGCTATCACCAGGGCCCTGCACCCTTGGCCTCCTTCCAAGATGACCTAGACATGGGCTCGAGTGAAGGCAGCAGCCCTGCCCCATCTCCACCTGGCAGAGCGGCGCCCTGGCCCCCACAGCAGGAGCCCAGGGCCAGCAGGAGCCCACTGGATGACTCCCATGACTTTGCTCTGATTGATGACCCCTCCACACCGGAGGGTGCACCCCGAGAGGGGCAGAGGCAGGAGGCAGTCCTGCTTGACAGCCGGCAGCGGTACCCGAGGAGGAAGGAGGAGGAGGAGAAAGCCTCGGACACAGGTGCAGGGGAGCCTGAGGAGGAAGAAGAGGACTTGTACTATGGGCTGCCCGACAGCCCTGGTGACTCCCTTCCGGACGAGGAAGTAGGCTTCGAGCCCGACGTCCAGGGCTGAGCTGGAACTGCTCCCTACTGCTAATCTCCTTTGAACTCACCGGGCCTCAGTTTCTGTACAAGGGGAGGACATGGAGGGTCAGAAGAGGTGGGGGGGCCTGAGGGCATCTGGGGAGCTATAAAAGGATCTCAGGGAGGGGTTGCTGTCTGAACCACCGCTCCAATGGCTCCTTTTCTCTGACAAACCTTTGAAGGCAAAGTGCAATGTGCTGAATATTTACAGTAGCCAGGTCCTCAAAAGCCTTTTCTGTCCCCCAAAGCTGGCCTCTGACGGGCCCTCCTGGTACTCTCCATGGCCCAGATCCCCTGTGGCGGCCTCTGGTGCCCACTCAATGGATCGGTCCGTCTCACCAGGGATGCCTGGCTTTCCCCTGACCCAGCACCTGCTGTGGCTCCTGCAGTTCCTGTGCCAGGATCTGAGACCTTGTGTAGCTGGCCCTTCTGACCTGCAACCTCAGCCCTGCCGGCGCTCCTTGACCTCTGGCCCCTCTCCTGCAGCCCAGACCCTTACCTGAGCTCTTCTCCTCCAGGACACCCTAGGGTCCCCCGAAGAGGGGACCCTCCCTCCCCTGAACACTTCTCCTGATGTCACAACTCTTGGAGTGAGGTGGTGCTTGCTCCCTTCTGTCCCTCTGGGCTGAATGTTCCTGCTGTGGCATCCTGCCTGCCTCCTGCTCCTGCTCCAGGCGGTGTCCTGGCTTTACCCACCTCAGCACCTCCAGCGGCCCCAGAGCTGTGCCCACTGAAGGGATGCAGAACTCAAAGCCCCAGGAACCTTCTGCAGACACGGTCTCCACCTCCTACTTTACCACCCTTCGGACTCCTGCCCCCTTACTGTCTGGCATTCAGACTTCTGCCTGGCCCTCAGACAGTCTCGGGGTCAGGCAACAAGCCCTACACCACACTCCACACCCGTGCCAAACTCCCTGGCGCTGGCTTGGGCAAATGTCATCAGGCTGCTGGCTTAATTCCTTTTGCGTCAGGGTCATCACTGCGCGTCCGCTGTGGGGTGGATGCTCAGCTGCGACCTTTGGGGGAGATCCTGAGGTGGTTCTTGACGTCAGTGCAGTCACACTCCAGCGAGCTGCTTCCCTGTGGATTAGAGACAGAGCGCAGAGCAGAGGCGGAGGAGGGAGTGGAGATGTAAGAAAGCAACACCCAGGGGCAGCAGCGACAGAGCCATCAAGGGCAGTGGAAGAACCTTGGCACCCTGCAGTAACACCTGTCCCCTGCTGATCTCTGCAGAGCCCTTAGGCCCACCAGGGACAGCAGTGGACACGGAGGAGAGGGCAGGGTGCTACCTCCGGTCTACACACTCAGAGCTCTGCCCTGGGCCACCTGGGAGTGGGAGGCCATCACCTGGGCAGGGCCCCAGTGGACGTTGGGGTCCTGAGTCAGGGAAGATGCCCAAGCTGGGGCAGAAGGCCACGGTCCCAGCATATGCTCTTCTCTCTGGCCCTCTTACCTGTGCTGGGAAGGGGATGGTGGCACATCTGTCTGTGATGTGATGTGGAAGCAGTGGCCCTGCTCACACCCGGGTCCTGGACAAGGTGAGGTGTAGCGTGCTCCTCGTTCTGTTGGTCAAGGCAGGGACACCCGTGACCCACATCAGCAGGGGTACCAACACCCGCGACTCAAATAAAAACATTCTTAACACTAACACTTAACACTTTATTCACCAGCAAATTCTTCTTTGAAAAACCACCACTGCTCCCTGGGGCAGGATAAATGTGGCGGCGTGCCCAACTGGTATTGTGGCCCATGCCCGAGGGAGTGGCAGCCAGCGGGGTGTGACTCAGGGCAGCTACTGTGAGTGGCCTTCACACCTCTGTACCGCAGGGCAGGGACCTCTGACAGGAACAAGATCCTCTGGCTGCTGGGGCTGCCAACAGGGAGATGCCAACCCCATTCCAGGCTGGGGCTCTGTTTACATCCTGTCTCCTCTTAGCTATGTGTGCACACTGCCACTCTCCAAGCCACCCCTCTAGATGACAGATTATGTATCCACCCTCCCTGCCCCATTGTGTCTGGGACCTCAGCTTCCTCCTGGGAAAATAGGACCTGGTGAACTCATAACCCTGCATCTTTTGGGGTTACATGGAGGGGGATTTGCTTGGCTCCATCTGCCTGTGCCCTGCAGCCAGGGACCAGCAGGCAGGCAGCTGAGTGAGCTGGAGGGCTGTAGGGAACAGGGGAAGGGGACGTTACCAGAACCTCTGCAGTGAGTCCTGGTCTCCTGCGAGCCACGGCAGCACACGGCGAATGACAGGAAAGGTAGACAAATGAGACTGAGAAGAAGCTGAGCTTTGGGTCTGATCAGTGCTGCTCTGGGCAGCAAAGACAAGAAGCCCTAGCTTGCAGCACCTTTTATTTAGTACATCCAAAGAAACAAATGTAACAAATGAATAATGTAGATTTCAGGATCATATTGGGATGAACAAGGTGTAACAAAAGACTGGGTGGGGGCAGCGGAAATCTAAGAACAATGAGGAACTATGCAGAGGAAGATTTAGTTCCTCCCAGGAACTACACAGATGAAGATTTGGTTCCTCCCAGGGCGTCTCCCACAGGTGTGGTCTTGTCCTGGAGGGTTACAGCATCATGGGATCATTGAGATCTCCCTTGTGACCTGAGGCCAAAATGGAAGTATGTCTGGGAGTGTTATTGCTGGCCTGTAGGCAGGAGAACTAGGCCTACTCAAACGATTTTTCCCTAGAATTATGTAGCATTGCTCCCGACAGAGGGCCTCATGCTTGCTGCAGGGGAATGAGCTTCCTCTGAAAGTGGGTGCAAGAATGGATGCGTGATCGCATGTGGGCTTGTGCCAGGTAGGTTAGGGGCCTGCCCCGGTCAGATACAGGCAGGAAAGGGGTGAATCTGATCGTTGATTGGAGGCCCTCATCAACCCGGTGCAGAAGGAAGGAGCCTGGATGGAAGCTAAAGCTGCAATTGGCAAAGAAACAGCCATCATCCTACAGCCAGGAGGAGGAGTGGTCCTTTCTGTGGCTTGGACCCTGTTCCTGTTGGCCTGGGCTTGGCCATGCCTGGCATGTGGTCCTATTGCCTCTTCACCCCTTCCCTGGAGCTCTCTGTGGCCATGGAGGTGTAGGCAGCCAAGGCAGGGGCTGTGGGCTGCAGCTCTGTGGGGCGAGAAGGGGGGACAGGGGCCCCGCTTTCTCCAGCTCTGTGAGCTGAGCTCCCTCACTCGCTCTCACGCGATCCCGCCACTGGCCTCCCTCCCTTGGCCTGTAGGAGCACGGGCGCCTCTGATGTCCACTGGTGGCTGCAGGGAGAGGAGTAGGGTGCTCCCAGGGGCGCAGGGCAGGGGTGCTCACAGGCCTGGAGGAGCCAGGAGTTCCAGGGCTCAGCCTCAGGCTCCAGGTCTGTGCCGGGGTGGAAAGTCCCGCTCCTGGGATGCGGAAAGTTTCCACTCTCTGGAGAGAAGCGGGCTCTCAGGGAAGGGGTGGCCCTGGGGAGTGATCCTGGGGCTGGGAGTGGGTTTTGCTGACTGCCTGCTGGGTCTGGGACACAGGACAGCCTTCCTGGGCTCCAGTCCCTTTTCCCTGCATGATCGGGTGGACAGGGACAAGATTGCACTTCTATGCCCAGTCCTCTGCACTGTGCGCCAGGATCTCTTGTGCGCATCACCCCTAAATGTTTGTTCCACTGCTCAGACTCAGTATGAGTGGCCTGGCTTTGCACCCAGCCTTTGTCAGTTCCTTGATATGTGAACCAGGAGAAGTCACTATCCCTCCCTGACCCTCAGTGTCCACACTGATACACCTACTTCTCAGGCCGTCCTGGAGAAGAAGTCAGGCACCAGCGTCCCCTGCACATTGTAGCTCCTCCACAGGGTCAGGCTCTTTCCTCACCTCTCTGTGCCTCAGTTGCCTTTCTCAGCCACAGGGACCAACTCTGTCCTGCTGAGGAACGAGACAGCAGGTGAGTGGATCTGCCAGGGAGAAGCCGCGTGTAGCAGCACCCACAAACGGCAGGGCACCCACTGAGTGCCAGGGGCTTCCTGGATGGCATCTCACTGATTTTGACCTGAGAGTGGGGTGTTCTGGAGGAGGAGAAGGACCTTGCAGAGAACCTCTGAGCCTGGCATTGCTTCCTGAAGCCACCTTCCCCTCAACGCAGACACTCAATAACCCTGCCATGCTGGACTCAGCCGATTCTGTTTCACCCTCGAAATCTGCAAGGGTGGTGGACTGAACCCATTTTACAGGAGACTGAGTCTTAGAGAGGCCAAGTAGCTTCCCTGCTGGCCCAGAGAAGGTTGAAGGGAGGGGAGAAGATGGAGCTCCAGGCTCTTCTCTTCCCAGCAGGAGCTGCCCAGTGGCCTGGTCATTCCCACCCAGTGTGACCAGGAGGAAGAAAGCAAACAGGCAGCGTGCTCCACTGAGCGCTCTGCCAACACTGAAGGAGGCACGCCTTTTCTCCCAAACCTCCCAAGACTCCCTCTTGCCCACCAGATAGAGGGCAGTGTTCTTGGCCTGGCCTCTGAGATCCCTGTGACCCCGGCTCCAGTGCCCTTTCTGGCTAAATCATCTGCCAGTTCCCCTGACACCGCCTTACTGGAGGTGCGACCTTCACGCCATCCTGCCTTTGCCAGCGCAGTCCCTGCCTGGATGCCCTTCATCCCTTCTGCCATCCCTCCAGGCCCAGCTCAAATTCTACCTGCTCCCTGGAGCCTGAACCAGCTCCGCTCCCCTCCCAGGACTGGGTCCACCCCATGCCACCATATCTTCCAGGTCCCAAATTCGTGCGCTGCTGTGTCCCCAGCACACCCTATGGGGCTGGCTGTATGCCAGTGTCCCCACCCGGCTGGGAGCTCCTTGAGGACAGAGACCTCTTCCAGCGGTATTTCTAGACCCAGGACTTAGCAAAAGCGAAGAGCAGCAGTGCTGGAGAAATGGAACAAAACTGAGCTGAGCCTGGTGCTCACCCTGATGCTAACTAACAACAGTGCTGAGTCCGGGGGCAGTGTGCCAGGTGCAGACATCGGAGGCCAGCATAGGCACTGTCTCACCAGCGCTCCCCAAGTGCAGCTTTGTGGGCCCAGCTGGGCCGGGGCCGTCAGACACTCCTGGGAAGCTTTAAGAACCCTCAGAGAGGCCCAAGGTTGTCCAAACTTTGACTAAGCAAGCCCGGAGACTCCAAAGCACAGGAAGGCTCAGGCTTCCATTTCTCTCATGGGTCATCAGGACTGGACAGCTAGGAAGGTGCAAGCCAGGCCAAGCACACATGGGACAGAGGGACGAGGCCACCTGAGGCAGAGGCATAGCACAGATGAGCCCTGGAGAAGGTAGGAGGGAGACGTGGTCCCTGAAATCTGGAGGAGGCTGCCTGGCAGCATGGTGAAGCTCATCAGAGAGGAAGGCTGGAGCTCATGAGGCTACCTGGATTCCTGCCATGGAGCTCACACTGAGTCTGAGCACTGGGGATCCATTGATGGTAAATGAGCAGCATGACCTAAGGAAAGAAGGTTTAGGGCACCACTAGTTAGTAGATAAAAGGGGCACGAGGATGAAGCAGTGGCCCCAAGGCTTGTTGTGCCCTGGACAGGGATTCAGGTCCCCACTTGCCCTGTGGAAATTTTCCTCTCCATAGGGTGGGACTGAAGCGGGTTGCTGTCCTGCGGTGCCCACTGCTGAGCACAGTCTGGAGAACATGGGTGGGGGCCCACAGTGAGCTTCAGCTCCCCTCCAAGCCCCAGGAGCCCTGGCTGAGCTGAAGCCCCACTCAGAGACCACCTGGCAACAGCAGGTGCCCTGAGAAGCCCCCTAGTCTGACAACAACCCCACCGGTGGTGCTGCACATGGGCACAGCTCCCGGGCCACCCACACATCCTCAGTGTTGAACCCAGAGAAGACGTGGGGAGGCAGGTGTGCAGTAGCAGCTCTGGGGCCCAATCACCAGCCTGGTGCAGGGAGAACTGGCTCAGACACAGTGAAGTCTCCACAGAGGGGGGCTCTGTAAACCTGGGGCTGCCAGAGATGGGTGAGAGAGGAAGGGAGGGAGAAAGGGA